GACATGACTGAGCACACAGGCATGCACACATGCATACCGGAGCAAGCAATGGACTTCATTTCATTCCATGAAAAAGCTTCTGTGTGTCTATTCTGTATCAGGTGCTGGATTCATATGTGAAGACACAGTCCTGTCCTCAAGGAGTTCCTGGTCGAAAGAAAGACACATGAAGGTGTTACACACAATGTGACAATGAAAATTCCCAGACGTGCAGGGGTTACGAGAAGGAAGGAATGGTGAACTCTGTCAGGGGGAATCTCCCAGAAAGTGACCTCTGAGGTGGGCTTCAAAGATGGATGGAATTTGCCAGATGAGCAAGTAGCAGGTGAAGGATTCCGGGCGGCAAAAGGATATACACTATAAAGGCACAGACTCAGAAAAAATAGACTATAAGGTGCGGGACTAGGGGAAGAGAGAGTGGAAGATGTAAATTATAGAGGGTCGTATAAGTACAGTTGATGTACTTATCAACCGTATTGATGACATCAATACTGTAGCATCAAACTGGAGGGGGTGGGGGTTGGAGATAGGTCAAGAAGAGGTAACTGTGGCCAGATCATGAAAAGCCTAGTATTTACTAAGTTCAGTTGTGTGTAGACTGAACCCAGGCAGTGGTGGTGGGAATCAGGAGGGAACAAGAGGTAATGAGGGGGTAGGACTGTTAGGACTTGGTGATTGAGTGGATGTGGGAGATGAGAGAGAGGGAGGAATCCAAGCTCACTCTCAGGTTTACCAGACTCGACCTGCAAGGAGGTTTGTGAGTCCTCCAGTGACTTTGTGACTCTGGGAGGAAAAGCAGGTTTGGGGGATAAGAAGGTAAGTTCTGAGCTGGACATGTTGAGTTCAAGATGCCTCTGGAATACTGGGGGGAAGGAATGTGGGTGGTTGGAATTACATGGCAGAGGTTCTTTGATGTCAATGTATGGCGCTTGTCTGGAGACGTGTGGCTGGAATAGAACCTAGGATATAATATATATATATATTTAAAAATCATAGTGAATAGAAAGTATTTATTTTTTGATAGTGCTGGGTCTTCGTTGCTGTGTGGGCTCTTCTCTAGTTGCCACGACTGGGGGTTTCCCTCTAGTTGCGGTGCATGTGGTCTCACTGCGGTGACTTTTCTTGTTACTGAGCATGGGCTCTAGGGCACTCAGGCTTCGGTAGTTGTGGTGCATGGACTTAATTGCTCGGCTGCATTTGGGATCTTTCCGGACCAGGGAAGCCCTAAGACATAATATTAACTATAGCCAACATTTCATATGGGCTTGCTATGTGCCAGGCTGTACCATCAGATTTGCTTTGCTAATCATTTTGCCTTTGGCAGCTGGCACACAATGGGCACACAATAATTATTTTGTTGAATGGATGCCCTCATTTAGTCCTCACCACAAACTTACAAGGCAGGTATGATTAGGACCCTCACTTTATCCATAGGAAGATGATCTAGGAAAAGCTAAATAAGTTAACTGAGGTCACACAGCTGCTAAGGAGCAAATCTGAGATTTTTTTTTTTCATTTATTTTTATTAGTTGGAGGCTAATTACTTTACAATATTGTAGTGGTTTTTGCATTCATTGACATGAATCAGCCATGGATTTACATGTGTTCCCCATCCTGGTCCCCACTCCCGCCTCCCTCCCCATCCCACCCCTCCAAATCTGAGATTTGAAATCAGCTCTTTGTGATGCTAAGTCCAAAGTGCTTAACCACTTTGCTAGAATCTTAAAGAAGGCTGAGCAACAAGAACTGATGCTTTTGAACTGTGGTGCTGGAGAAGACTCTTGAGAGTCCCTTGGACAGCAAGGAGATCAAACTAGTCAATCCCAAAGGAAATCAACGCTAAATGTTCATTTGAAGGACTGATGCTAAAGCTGAAACTTCAATACTTTGGCCACCTGAGACGGAGAGCTGACTCACTGGAAAAGAACCTGATGCTGGGAAAGATTGAGGGCAGGAGGAGAAGGGGACGACAGAGGATGAGGTGATTGGATGGCATCATTGACTCAAAGGACATGAGTCTGAGCAAACTCTGGGAGGTGAAGGACAGGGAAGCCTGGGGTGCTGCAGTCCAGGGGATTGCAAAGAGTCAGACACAACTGAGCGACTGAACAAAAACAGCAAGAATGTTAAATCTTCCCCCAAACATGTACTTCTAAGACCTGGAGTGAGACTCTCACCCCTCTGAGACTGTTTCCTCTACCAAACCAGGAGTGGGATTCAAAAATCTCAAACCATTCCTTCAGCTTCAAAACACTGATGACATCAGATGATGACCATGGCAATGCAGTGAAGAGGCCCACACCACGTCACTTAGGGTGGAAGGCCTGAACAGTGCAGGCAGTGTAAAGTGGGACAGCAAACAAGTTCTAGGTACAGGCAAAGAGGGCAGATTAGGGTTTAACTTCCATATAACCAATCACCACACATGGAGCCACTTCAAACCAACACGTATTCACTACCTCACAGTCTCTGTGGGTCAGGAGTCCTGGCACAGCCTAGTTCAGTCTCACAAGGTTGCGATCAAGGTGTCAGCCAAGCTCATTCTTAGCTGAATGCTTGAATGGGGAAAGGTCAGCTTCTGAACTCATCTGGATTGTGGGGGGACTTTATTTCCTTGTGATTGTATAACTAAGACCCAGCTTTTGACTGACTGTTGGACAGAAGCCACCCTCAGGTCCTAGAGGTTGCTCATAAGTTCCTTGCATTTGAGCTTCCTCAACATGGCTGCTCACTTCATCAAGGACTGCAGGAGAACCTACTTGTGTGTGCTAGCAAGATGGAGATATATTGTTACATCAACATAATCTACAGGTGGCTTCCCATTACCTCCACCATACTCTGTTGCTTAGAAGTCTCAGGTTCCATCTCAAGGGGAGGGAACCACACAAATTCCCAATATGGGCACCAGGAGGCAGGGATTGGAGGTCACACTAGGGTCTGTCATCTATAAGAGGCCACATTGCTGCTGCTACGTCACTTCAGTCGTGTCCGACCCTGTGCAACCCCACAGATGGCAGCCCACCAGGCTCCCCCGTCCCTGGGAGTCTCCAGGCAAGAACACTGGAGTGGGGTGCCATTCCCTTTTCCGAAGTGCCCACATTACCTGATGAGAATTTGAAAGAAATTACAAAACCAGTTAAAGTTGGTCTAGTTTTTAGCTAAGACCATGAACTGGCAATTCTAGACATCATCAGTGACAAAATACTCATTCCTGAAAAAAATCTTTTGTTGTTTGAAGTTCTAAACAGTTGCTGGGATTACTGTCAAGTTTTCATACTGCATTCACTTAAGAAATTCCCTATCCTTTAATGCAGTGTATTCTACATGGAAGTAAACTCCCAGTTATACTGACAGCGGGTCTCCAAAACATGGACTTAGCTACAGGCTTTCATTTTAAGATGAAGACTGTAATGGTGCACAATCATTTGAGATGAGATCGTTTTGGGTGCAACGTGTCTGTGTCTCCAATCCTATGGTAGTACACAATACTGTTTTTAAGTAACAGATGCGAAATAAACAAAGATAACGCCCGTGACAGTAAAATCAGAGAAACTGAACCGGAGTTAACTCAGTTCTGTTATTCTATATGACTGCCTAGAATTTTTGTGCTTAAAATTTAAAAGAGTGAAACAGTGCAAACTGAGAGTTGTTTTTGACAGATGCACATTTCAGTTAACACACAAAATATTTTATTAAATTTTAGTATCAATTTTAAAACAGAAAATTCTTTTATTTTAAAACTAAAAAACAAAGCAAGAGAAAACCCAGTACATGAGTGATATGATTTAGTAGTTGACTAAACTACTAAATTGTGCTGTTTAAGAATAAAAATTAATAGCTAGCACTAATTGGGGCTCAAAATGTGCCAGACACTGTTACACACACACACACACACACATTTATATTATCTTATGAATACAGGCAAATCCTGCTCTTATCCTTATTTTAAGATAATGTAGTCCGGGAGCACAGAAGATTGTTGTCTGCTCAAATTAGCCAACTAGAGTGGCAGAGCTGGAATCTCAGTCCGGGTTGGGTGGTTCCAACGTCTGAATTCTTAGATTCTAGTAAAGGAAAACAAAAGACAGTATCCCAAACAATCTTGCCGGCCGAGGAAGCCCTTGAAAAAAGGACAGGAAGGTTTCTCATCCATGAGGGCTTCTTTCCACTCCTGACCTGCCCCTGCCGGATCCTGAGCTGAGGGAGGGCCGGCTTCCCAAGGACCTGCCAGAGGGAATTCTCTTTCCGGGTCCCCTCTCCGCCCTCTGAGCACCCTTGCCGCACCCCGGCCCTCCTCTGCCAAGCCCAGGTTTCTGTCGGCCCTTCCCAGCTTCCGGCCCTTCGCTCCAGGTCAGGTCGCTGGGTCCAGGCGGTGCCAGGAGTTCTCAAGTCCTCTATTTACTGTTTGGTTTCCATGGTGACACGTAGGCGCCGTCAGCGCCTTCCGTCATCAGCCCCGCAGCGCGGTCCCCCACCCGGCGCCGTGACGTCTGCCCGCCGCTTCCGCTCTGCCCATATTTGGCTCAGCCGCTGAGCTGCCCGCTGGGAGGAGGGACCTGGAGGAGGCTGGGAGTCGGGCTCTGTCCTCCTCCTCTCCCTCCTCCCCGCGCTCTCCGTCTCCGGCCACGCCCCCGTGCGGGTGCTGAGGGCCCCTGAGTTCCACGCTACCCAACTCCGCGACCCCCGGCGGAGGCGAGGGGCGGGGGCAACAGGGACCGCGAGGGAAGGCGTGGATGATTGATTGACAAGCCCCGGGGTCCCAGATATTTCTTGTCTCGTTGAGACTGCAGCCTAGAGTTGAGCTGTCTCATCTGTTTTGGGTTGGGTGAGCTGGGATCATGATTTTCTCCCTCTGTGCCCGGAAATCATGGAAACAGCCATCCTTCGTCTCTTTCTGTTTCATATTTTATAGGCTTGAACTTAAAATCCTCGTCCCTGGCGCAGTGGAAAGCTTTGAAGACCGTGGTTCTGGGAATCAGTGTTGCCTCTGGGGGGAATAAATGACCTTGGGAAGGTCACTTTCTTTTACCTAGCCTGGTAAAAGGGGGTGAGGCGCAGCGGCGTCAGGCTTGGGAGGGGAGATCGTCTGCATCACCTTTTAGTTTTGCAGTAGTTACGGGCGGGGGAGAGAGGGGTCGGCGAACGGGGAGTAGGGGGAGGCCAGGCGGCAATGCAGGACAAAATTGGAATACCGGTGAAGTTCTTTGAGGACCCCCTGCAATTCTGACCCCCGCAGCAACTGGGTTTGTGCGTTTCTTTGCGCCTTGGTCGTATTAGGCGCTTAATTAACTGTTGCTCACCGCTTATTGAATGAATCCCAGGCAAATTACTTTCGCATTTCACCTTCATAAATCCAGACCCCCGCAATTCCTCTTACAGGCGGAAGGAGGGATATTGCGGCGATGATTAATAGCGCACAGCAGGGTTGCTGATGTAAAGCGATTTGCAGATGTAAAGGGCAATAAACATTCCTGGGAGGAATCCAGCGAGATTCCAGAAATCTCGGAGGGAGCCGTGGGTGTGTGCCGCCGGGCCACGAGGGCGGGGGTGGGGTGGGCAGTGCCGCAGTGACCACTACCGGGGAGCCGACTGCGGGCGTGGGGGCAACTCTTCAAGATGCTTGGTCCTGGCTACCGCCCTCCCCCGCCACCCCCCGCCCCGTCCTCAACCCCCGCCCATTCCTCAGTTCCTCTAACCAAAGGAGTGTGTTTAAGAATTTCAGAGCTAGAACGCACATCTGATACTATTGCTCTAATTCAGCCTTTCAATTTTACATACTGGGGACTAGGGTTCAGAAAAGCTGATTCATTCTTCCAAGTTTGCACAGCTGGTTAGAGATAGATAAAAGCCAAGATTTCTGGCTTCAAACTAGCGTACCTCCCACCTCCCCTCTAACCCCCTCTGCTCTTGTGACTTCAGGACCCTGTTGCCTGGCTCAGATGGTGGAACGTACAGTAAAGCTGAATACCGACATCAGAGCTCCTTAAAGGGTGCCAGTGGCATGCCTCCTGTCCCACACAACCCACAGCATGACATCAGGGCCTGGGGTGATGGCCAGGAGGTGTGTTATCCCCAAAATGCAGAGCATTCTTCCTCCTAGTGACTGGAATGGCTACACTTGTCCAGAGACCCTGAATTGGTTGCCCTGAAACTAGGCTTAGACTAGCAGTTGGTCATTTTTCATAGTTACCCAAGCCTCGCATTAAGTTTTCTCAGTCAAGACAACAGAAGGCATGAATAGCCTCAACCCATGGAAACCCCTGTTCTGCCTATTGGAAGATCTTTTCATGGTACATAGAGGTTGAAAGTGAAGTCGCTCAGTCGTGTCTGACTCTTTGTGACCCCATGGACTACCACGCTCCTCCATCCATGGAATTTTCCAGGCAAGAATACTGGAGTGGGTTGCCATTTCCTTCTCCAGGGGATCTTCCTGACTCAGGGATCAAACCCCTGTCTCCCGCATTGCAGGCAGACGCTTTTCTCTCTGAGCCACCAGGGAAACCCCTATGGCTCCCTATAAACCCCTATAACATAGAGGTTAGATCCTCTTTAATGTCTCTGTCTCCTCTTTCAGTTTCACCCGGCTTCCTCTTACATTCTATATTCTTTTTCTTCCCTGATTCTAGGCAGCCCAGTGTGAGAAGACTGGTGCCCACTGCTGGCCTCAGGCCACACCAACTCTTCCAAAGAAGTCTGGGATCTTTCCCCTTTCTCTGCGGTTTATACTTGGAGCTCCAGCGACAGAAGTAGCAGGTCTGCTTCCTGGTGGACATTTGAGGCAGAGCACCTTTCTCCAATTCCAGAAGCTGCCTAATGGTTAGGGGAATATATATGTATATATATATATATATATATATATATATATATTTTTTTTTTTTTTCCTTTGTTTGCTCTGATGGAAATAGCAAAAGCTGACAGAAAAAAAAAAAGTCCAAGTTTTTTTTTTTGGTCTCTTTATTTTAGAAGACCATATTGATTTGGACGTAGAAAATACTCTCTTGTTTCTCTTGCTTTCTTTCCTCCTGCCAAGTCTTGCTGTTTCCATTAGAGTGAACAAGGTTTTCTTGCCCCTTCTCTCAAACCTTGCCCCTTCTCTCTATTTCAGACTCCACCTCCTTCATAACAACTTTTCTGACTCCTCTTCTATATATTTTATGAACTACAGCTGTGCACAGACCCAGCACACGAGTACACACTTACTTGATGTCTTTACTGTTGTTCCTTGAGAGTGGAAGCCAAGTCCTGGGTGTTTTTTGTGTTGACAGAATAATGCCCAGCACAGGGCTGGGGACAAAACCTGCTCTCAAGCCCTTGAGTATTAATTGATTAATTTCTCCAGAAGCAACTCCAAGCCTTTGCTTTGATAAACTTTCCTATCAGTTCTTTGAGTGGGTGGGTGGGTGGGGAGATCTAGGTAATGATCTAATCAAAGATAGCCTTGCACAAGAAGGAGTTTCACAAAGCAGTTTCACAAGAGAACACCACCCCACGCAGAGAGGGATGGAGAAGTGGGACGTGAACTCTCTGAAAGATGAGGAGGGTGAGAACACTAGAAGGTCAAAGGATGAAAAATTAGGGGCGGAGGGCAGGGAGGGGGCGCTTTGCTTGTGGGATCAGAGAGGCAGCGCAGCTTCTAGAGCCGGCTTCCTGTCCAGACGCCACCACTTGCAGCGGCCATAGGCAAGTTTACTCTGATCTCTGTGCCTCGTTTTCTTATCTGTAAAGTAACTACCCATCTCCTGGCCTTATTCTGAGGATAAATTGAGCTGATAGTTGCAAAGTACTGGAATAGTACCTAGCACATAGTAAGTGCCATATAACAGTTGGTCAGATTATTTTCCAATGTAGCTGTCTTGTAGATAGAATGGAGGAAGGTTATATGACCTTTTTGGTCCCTTCTGCACTGACTTCCTGAGCAGGCCATGAGCTATGTGGTTGTACAGGTCTGGGTGGATTCCTGTCCCTGTTATTAGTTGTTTGACCTTGGGCAGATCATTCTACTTCTTGGAGCCTCAGTTTTCTCATCTGTGAAGGGAGAGGGGGGCAGATAATTGTGGTTACCTCGAAAGACTGTTGTATGCATTACATGACTATAAAAAGCCTGGCATATTGAGAGTTTTGTAAACAGAAGCTATAGTTATTATTATCTATGAGAGGAGCCATAGATAAAGGAGAACAGAGTCTCCAAAATCTTTGAGGTTTCCAGAAACATCAGACGTAGTGAATAGCAGTGAGATCGGCTCAGTTCCTGGAGCTTAGGGGTGGGAGGCTGGGCCCTGGATCTGGGCCATGACTGGATATCAACATCTGAAGAAACCAGGAATGTTTTGGCTTGTGGATCTGCTCTAGGAACATTTTCTGCCTGAGGGCTGTACTGAGGGTGTGGACTTGGTCAGGCCAGGTGCCAGCAGTGGGAGGCCCCTTCTTCCCATGAGGGGGGCCTTTAGTAAGAGAGGGCGTGGGCAGTGTGGGCCTTGGAAACCTGTTGTTGAGTGTGTATGTGTGTGACTGTGTGTATGACTATGTGTGTGTGTGTGTGGGAATGGCCCAGACACTTCCTACCCAAGGAGCTGGCCTCCCAGGCCTGGCATGACCATCCGCATGGCTGAACCTGCCTGCACAGCTCCTCAAAGCTGCCCTTCCCAGCCCTGACCTGGGACATCCCAGAGTGATTGCCGGCAGCTATTCGAGGGGTGGTGGGAAGGAGGGTTGTGATAGTCTTACAGTCAAATTACCCTTCATTCCCTTCAGCCGCATTTATGGAAAAGTACTAAATGGAATATACAAAGGCTGTGATGCAGTCCTTTGGGTTCTTTTCGAAGGGGGAAGGAGGATTGCAAAATCCAGCGATGCTAGAGTGTTGCAATCACAAACATGTTGGGAATCACTTTTACAGTCCCCCGTGACCCAGGAGGAATTGCGCGACCTGGCAGGCCAGAGTCTACGCTAAGTAAGTTGTCATTCTGGGATCCCAGACAGTCTTAGGAGCTGTTTGGGGATTGTGGAGGGATCTGTAAGTCTCATTTCAAACTTAGGTTTCCAGTCATGGCAAGGGAGGGGTGGGCCCCAGTGACTAGTACCTGGAGCAGAACTCAAACGTGGCTTGTGAAGTCACGAAGGTGCTAATATTGGTTGTCTCTGGGGAGGAAGGAATATGTTTTTCATCATCTCCTTTTTGCTTGTTTGTACTCTCTGATTTTTGTTTTTGGCGAGCCCACATACTACTTTTGTAATAAAAATGTTTTTTAAATGTTCCCAGCAGAACAGTATGTTTGGTTTTTTTATGGGTAACAATAATAAATGAAAAGACTCAGAACTCAAAACACCTCTTAATTTTTTTTTCTTCTCCCCTTCTTTCCAGAAGAAATAGATGCTCCTGATGAAACCTTTGGAAGTTCAGATAATCAAAATGAAAAATCACCTATAATCACATTGCAGAGGTTTTGCCAACCATTTTAATTCTCTCTCCCTTTCCTATATTGGAAGCTTTAGTTTTATACTTTTAAATTTATCCATTGTAGTTTTCATGAAAACAAGACCAGACGAGAACACTGTATTATAATCTTGTTTTTCTATATCATACATCATGAATACAATTTTTTTCTACCTGCTAACTTTAATAGCTAGTCATATAGGATTCTAAACATCCAATAATTCTAAACATGCAACAATCAATCCTGCATTGTTGGACCTTTGGGTTGTTTCTAAGTGATTTTTCTATTCTAGACAAGGATGCAAGAAGTTCCGTGGCTAAATTTTTGCGCACATCTGAGATTATTTTGTTCGAGGTGGGCCGAGGGCACGCTGCTTTGTAAGGCTTTTGAAACATCGCTGTGCGGTCAGTATAGTGTCACAGAGGACAGTGTGCAGCCCCTGTTACAGATGGGAAGGGAGTATTGGCTCAACCAGTTTCTATCTCTGCAATTTTGAGGAAATGACTTACCTTCTCTGCACTTCAATTTCCTCAAATGATGATAGCTTATGGAATGAGACTAATGCGGGGACTGGATGAAAAAAAAAAAGTGTCAAGTGGCACAGCACATGATGAACCCTCAGTAAATGGTAATTGTTTCTGACTCACGGACTGTCTTTTCTTCAGGGCAAGAAGTTGTCTTTGAAACTGAGGTCTAGTTGCCTGGGAAAGTTGGGGGGAAGAACTGGGGTGGGTTTAAATGGTGAAAGGGGAAGACACTGAGACAGGGACGTCTCAGGCACAGTGGATAGGGATCCATCTGCCAATGCAGGGGACACAGGTTTGATCCCCGGTCCGGGAAGATTGCATATGCCATGGAGCAACTAAGCCCATGTGCTACAGCTACTGAGCCCATGCTCTAGAGCCTGCACGCTGCAACTGCTGAACCCAAACGCTGCAACTGCTGAAGCCCATGTGCCTAGAGCCTTTGCTGCGCAACGAGCAGCCACCACAATGAGGAGCCCACGCACCGCAGTGAAGAGTAGCCTCTGCTTGCTGCAACTAGAGAAAGCCTGCACAGCAAGGAAGACCCAGGACAATTAAAAAAAAAAGTGGACAAGTGATCAAGAAGGGGCTGATGAGGGGGTTGTTGTCCTGTCCCTAAGCTGTGTCTGACTCTTTGCGACCCCAGAGACTGCAGCACGCTAGGCTTCCCTGTGCTTCACTATCTCCTGGAGTTTGCTCAAACTCAGGTCCATTGAGTCGGTGTTGGCTGAGGAAAAGCTAGCAGAGGAGAGCGTGTCCTTGAGGGAGATGGAGAACACAGTGGCCAGGGGTGAAATGTCCACGTGGTACCGTTTGGAACTTGGAAGCCGACCCAGGTGCCAGTCAGCCCCTGTGCCGCCCAGGAGGCCACCTCTGTAAGATCCCAGGTGGGGCCTGTGTCCTTTGGCCCCCAGCCCCGAGAGGCTGCTTTCTGCCTTCCTGCTCTCAGCCTCATATTGCATCACTCCCTGCCAGGGTTCTTTCTGTTCCCTGAGTGCGCCATGTTCCTGCCTGTTGGGTGGCCTTGTACGTTCTGTTCCCCCTGCCAGTAATGTCTGCTCTTCTTGGCGAATTCCCAGGTACCCTTCAGATCTCAAGCTTAAAGCTCACTTCCTCAGGGAGGCCTTCCCTGACCGTTTGGTTTCAGCTGGCTGCCTTCCTCCTGTTTACTTTCCCTGGGCCTCTGTACCTACATAGCAATGTCAGAGTTTGTGGTTATTGTGTGTTTGTGATTGTTCACCCTTGGTGTTCTCACTGGGCTGGAAGCTCCATGAAAACAGGAACAGGGTCTGTTTTTTTTTTTTAAACTCACTCTTGTACCCCTGATGCCCAGCACATAGTCGACACTCAACAAAAAGTTACAGAAACAGAAGAATAAGCCAGTTCAATTGTGACCTATCAAATACCTTGATGTCCCCTTTTGTGGCTTCAAACCCGCCCTAATTGATGCTGGCTTGTTGGCTGAAGGAACAGGAGATTTGGGGCTGTGAGGACTGCTTTAGCCAGTTCCTCTCTTGTCTTCTCCCTTGAGGAAGTAGGCTTCCCTTTCTAAGACTAGAAACTTTTAAGCCAGTGCTTCTCAAGCTTATGGTTGTCATCGTTCAATCTCTAAGTCATGTCTGACTCTTTGAGACTGACTGTAGCATGCCAGGCTTCCCTGCCCTTCACCATCTCCCAGAGCTTGCTCAAACTCATGTCCATTGAGTCAGTGATACCATCCAGCCATCTCATCCTCTGTTGCCTCCTTCTCCTCCTGCCCTCAATCTTTCCCAGCATCAGGGTCTTTTCCAATGTTCTCAAACTTAAATGTGTGTATAAATTACCTGGGGATCTTCTCAGCATGCTAATTCTGATTCTGTGGGTCTAGGATCCTCCTTAGGGACAGGTATCTTTAAAAAGCTCCCGGGTCAAACCCATTTCGCTGGTCCCAGGACCACTCTGAGCAACAACAAGTCTTTGAGTCTACAGCTTCCTTCTGTTTTACCCTCCAACCATTCCCATGTCTCCCTGAAGAAGGGAAAGGCTATCCATTCCAGTATTCTGGCCTGGAGAATTCCCTGGACCCTATGGTTCATGGGGTTGCAGAGTGGGGCAGGACAGAGCGATTTTCTCTTTTCTATTCCTATGCCTAAGATTGAGTCGCTGCTCCCTCTGCTGGCCACTCAGGGACATGACAGTCATTGACAAAAGATAAACAGCATGTCAGTGGTCTGGTGGTCCAGTGGCTAAGACTCTGTGCTCCCAATGCAGGGGGCCCAGGTTTGATACCTGCTTGGGGAATTAGAGCCCACATGCTGCAACTAAAGATCAGCTAAAGATCCTGCATGCCACAGCTGAGGCCCCGTGTAGCCAAGTAAATAAATAAAAATAATAAATGTTAAAAAAGACAGCATGCCAGAAATATAAAACTTACACAAAATTCTTAGGAAAGAAGATCTGTTAAAAGTAGATAAGCACACGAATTTTAATAGCACTAGGAAAATGTGCTGTTAAGAATATACTCTGTAAAGGATCCCAGCCATGCTGAAGCAAAGAAATTCTTGGAGCAGAAGGATGTTAAGACTGGGAGGAACCCTTCCATTCATCTCTTCATTGATTTTCTTCTTTTGCTGCTGTTGGCTTTTCCCACTTTTTTTTTTTCTTAATCAGGGCTGTATTATGACTTTCATGGGCCCTCGGAAATTTGGTCTTTGAAGGTCCCTTTGTCTATAAAAATTAATTCAAAATTTCATTTTATGACTACATTGTTATAAAGATTAATAGTCTGAGGGAGTTTGAATAAATTGTCCTTTTTGGAAAGAAAAGTTAGTTTTTTTCTTCTGATTTTTAAATGAAATTAAAATATTTTTGTGGTTTCCTAAAAAATATCATGGGCCGCAGCACCATCCTCTTGTGTCAGTCCTGTTCTCCACGAGGTGGCAGAGAGCATATTCTTAATGCTATTCGAATCTGTGTACCCACCTGCTTTTAGTGGAAGATCTTGCTCCCTGAAAATTTTGTTTGAGTTTTAAAATTCTTGTGTGTTGTCTCTCTATTTATGCCCAAGAGTGTACTAGATGCCTTAGGGCCATTGCGCTGTGCCAGCAGTTGACCAGCTTGAACATGTTAAGTGACTTAGATATATACTGTGCCTAGAGTGTCCAGTATGTGCCAAGTGCCTTAAACATATCGCCTACATTTCAGAGCAGCTAATATACATGCTGTACCCTGGAGAACACCAGACCTGAGAAGGCGACCTCATTTTCTCACCTCCCAGGAGAGTAGTTAGCAGATCTGGGATTTGAACCCCAGACCTGTCTGATCCTCTCCACAGGCAGTGACAGGATATATGATGAGGTGCCTGCCTAGATATATATTTCCAAACACATGCTACACTAGCAGGGCTACCAGGGGCAAGATGTCAGGGAGAGCTGGGGGGGTCTTAGCGAGGAGAGAGTCTGAAGGCTGGCTTTGGAGCAACCGTCATTGCAGAGAGATGAAATGGCAGGGAAAGGCCCGTGAGGCCACAGAGATGTGGGGGGGGTAGTGTCCGCTGGTTCAGGGGACCGTGAGGAGACGTCCCAAGTGGGGAGGAACTCAAGGTTCGGAAGCAGAGGGTGATGCGGCAGAGTGGCTATAGGGAGTGAAGGACTTGGGCCCAGTCTGATGTTCAGTAAGAGCTTCTTTGTTTCCTTCCTAAAATAGTCCTGAATCATCAATAACTTAGTCAAGTTTTCTCCATCCTCCTGCCTCAGTTCGTCGTCTATCAAATGGGAGTGATGAAGTTTGCCCTGCCTTCTCGGAGACGTCAGGAAGATCAAATGACTGTCAGTCTCACAGGGATGGGGAGCCTGTGCCTGATTCTGGCTGTAATCCGGGGGCCTGGGTGCTCAGCACACGCTTGGTGAAGGCATGGGCAGCACACCCCACAAATCCCTTGAAAAGTACGGACAGAAGACTGCATGGCTGGAGAAAGAGCCCTGAGCCAGAAGAGGGCGCTCTTCAGTGAAACAAAGTTTGATGTAAGAAACCCCCAGGATCTTTCTGCAGGACTGGGAATTGAGAATTTGCATCCATCCCTAGGCTTTGCATTTGGCTTTAGGATTTAGGAGGTCAAGTCATTCTATTCTAAATTCTTATATCTAAACCTACCTTCACTCTAGTATACTAACTAGGAAAAGAAGCTAAAATGTAGTTTCTCTACTTCACGTTCTCTTAATGCTTTAGGCACTTAGTAGAGATGTCATTATTTTTATCTGGGGAGGCAGAGCTTAAAAGAGCAACCACCTATTAGATCTCATGATTTTGTGGGTCAGGAATTAAGACAGGAATTGGCTGGGAAATCCTCCTGCTCAGGTTGGCAAAGATGGATGTCCTCGGTGGTATCCAGCTGGGGGATGGGCTGGCCTGGAGGGTTTGAGATGGCTTTACTCATATGACACAGATGTTATTTAACATTTTATGTGGTTAATACCTGTCTCCTTCACTAGTCCAGAAGCTACCAAAGGACCGGAACTGTTTG